ACAATTTATCCATAAGGCAAAAAATTAAGAGATTTTTAGTTGGACCATTTGTTCAGAAAATCATTACCTAATCAGATAACTGGAAAAAACGTAAAGTACTTCGGTTTATTAATACTGTAATAGTGTAACTTTAGCCTCCTCTAGCAAGAACAGTTACAGTTATTCAGTACATAAAATAAAGTTAGTTTGTGTAGTTTTTTTATCTGCCACTTGTCAGGCTTGACCAAAGGTTTCAGCATGGATTGTAAATAACCATGTTATTTTACAATCCATGGTTTCAGGTATATTGGTATTTAGACCATTTTGCTTTTGCAGTTTTGAGTTCAATATTTTATTGCTAAAATATGTTGAAATACTGGTATACAGACACAGCCTGACATTTTAGGTATGCTGGTTTATTCAGACAGTGTTATCGAGTATAATGGTATTCTGGTAACCCCCTGGCTAACAGGCTAAGGCCTGACCACCTGAATTGTATATGAATGAGTACACCTCAGGGTTGCCAGATTGTTGAATAAATAAGCCAAATATTATTATCATAATCTTTTGTTTTCTTTGTTAGAAACAAAGACATCAAAAGGCCGTTTATAACAATGTTTGGCTTATTTATTCAGCAATCTGGCAACCCTGGTACACCTTGGGCTACATGAAGTATTTGCAATGTTGTTTCAAGATGGCGGAAAGTTTAAAAAATATTTGTCTACTCTTTTTGACTCGGATATTTTAATACTTTCCAAACGGTGAAGCTTTTAGCAGTATTAATGAAGAGTAAAAGAAAAGATGTCCAAGCATCTAGGAGGTACACTTTATGTTTTTGTTCATAATGAAACAAATATTAAAACAATGGTATAAAGTAGTTTTATACAAGTACTTTCGTTTTCGATATGCTATAAAAACAAATAGTTCAAAGGGCTGGAATCAGTGGGAACTTGGCTGATTTTGTTCATTCTTTATATTTGTATAAAAGTATAGACAGCACAGAGATATTTATACACTATAAATACAAAAATGTGCACACTCAAACATCAAAATTATGAAAACATTTAATATATAATATCAATAATGTATAAAACAGTAAACGCTGTGGATACAGGTCTGAAAGTATGAAACCAGATCCTAATGTGTAATATTGTGTCAGCTGCAAGATGCATACATACAACATTTATGTTGTTTTAGGCTATACAATAATTTGATCCTATCTATAAGAGCGTCTGTGAGGGAGACTAATGTGCAAGCGGAGGAGTCCGACACGGCTGAAATCTCATACACTCAACTCGGAAATCAACTGAAATCAAACCCGAAATCACGATTAGACATTAGTCAATTTTGAAATCAGAAATCATTAAAACTTCATTATTGAGCCCACAGTCTTATATGACAGCGGTAACTCACAGAAATCGGGTTAGAAAGCAAGAAATCGCATTATAAATCAACAGAAATCCGTTTAGAAACCAAAACCAGATTAGAAATCAAGAAATTACGTTCGAAATCGTGTGATTTTGAAATCTCGTACGCTTCATGTGGCCGTGTCGGACCCCTCGGTGCAAGCAATTACAAGTTGGATGCTCAACCACTTGTCAACCAAGCATTTGCTTGGAATGTAGTGAAATTTACGTAGTGCCATTTTATCGTGTTTGACCCATTGACTCTCCCCTTGACAAGTAAAATTGTCTGGCATCAGACAGAGTAGAATCAAAAGTAGGGTGTAATGCAACTTGATGGGTTAACTAGTAGACACATGGGCATATAGTCTGATCAACACATTAAGTACCAGTGCTTTCCCCTTGATGAGTAAAATCATCTGGTGTTTGAGTAAACTAATAAAGTAGAGCATATTACAGCAGAGTGCAACTTAGAACAAGTAGCAAAATTATGTCGGACAAGTAACATTCACATAAAATCTGGTGTCGGACCTGTATCCACTCACTTGCTAACATTAACAACAATAGGCTTAACCCATCAGATAACTACAAAAAATATATTGTGTCCAAAAATATATCGTGTCCATAAATATCAAAGAATACAATAATTGAATAAATAAATAATCCCATACAAAAATAGTGCATGCTTATAGAAAATCTAATCTAATAGAAAAATATTAGACAATTTACATGATTTGTTTGTCTCGTATGATTTGTCTCTGACTGTACCAAGGCTATATGAACAGTGACTAGAATAGCAACAGATCATGCTATGCAAATTTTTAATGATTTGCAATATTCAAATCTTTAGAAATGGTTGTCTTTAACCTATCTATTACGAAAGTCACCGAACTGTGGAATCGCATCAAAAATCCATATCGCCAGCACTCCCACAAATGCCACAAATGTCTAGCGACTGCACCTACATATTTTTGCATGTTTACAATTCTAATTTTAAACAGCCAATCGACATTTAACTGTAATTGTTACCAAGAACTGGATTGGCTGTTTAAAATTAGAATTGTAAACATGCAAAAATATGTAGGTGCGGTCGTTAGACATTTGTGGGAGTGGCGGCAATACAAATTTTTGACGCAATTCCACAGTTCGGTGACTTTCGTAATAGATGCAGGTTTATTAGCACACAGCATGACCAGTTGCCATGGCTAGCTTCGCCGCTGCATCTGAACAAAAGCAAATCATGTTTTGACAAACTATGTCATGTAAATGCATTGGCCTAACTTACAGTAAAGACTAAAGACTGATTGTCAATCACCCTCTTATAATATAGTCATCCACATGCTATTCAAGCTATTCTGACATTGGCTTGTATATGGCAAGTAGTGAAAAGCAAAACTACAAGAGTTTCGCGAACCAGAAAAAAGTTCTTCACTTTAAGTTTTAAAACAAAACTATTTTGTATAATCAGGCAACATTGTGACCAGGGGTGCATCTGGCCTGATTTGTTAGAGGGTGTGGTATAATTGTTAATTATTATATACATTTATATCTAGACAAGTTTGTCTAGTTCACACACTGGTTCATCTGTACACTGCACAGATGATTAAATTGACAGACAATCATTAGTTTGTCATGTTTACACAAAGGCCACCAGTGATTATCAGGCAAACTATCTTTCTTTGCCCAAGTTCATTCAGACACACATTGGTGTCTGGTATACATTATTATATTTACAGAAATATTATGCATAAGATAATTGACATCATTGGGCAAAGTTTGTGATCAAATAATTTGCCAAATGTTTCTGACCATAAGCCAGAATTTACCGTAGTTTACCGAGCGAGTCTTATGACCAAGCTTTTTACCATGCATTACCACAGACAATTTCGTCTGCTCACAGCCCAAGATTTCAAAAGCAGAAATTACGAACAAATTCAGGCTGCGATTAGGCTACAGATGCTTTCTCCAGCCAGAATAAATGTGTTGTGTTTTTGTGTCAAAATATTCAGGAATATGACTACATTTTTTCCCACTTTTTTACTGCCAAACTTTTACTTGCTAATCTTAGCATAATTTCTCATAGGAAATTATGAATTATTAACTTAATTTTACATTGGCAATGTAGTTGCATTTTTGAATGTTTTGACACCAAAACTTTTTTCAGGCGAGAGGAAGCATTGGTTTTGGTAATATCTCTGACCATTATAAGACCATAATTAGCTGAAGTGTTTGACCAGAACAATAATTTTATGTAGAGAATATTTTACTACATTTACTGTAGTTCCAGTCTATCCAAACAACCATGCACATTACTTTGCCAGAAAGATAATGTTAAGACCAAATAACTTACCAGTTACCACATACCAATATTGACAATAAGGCAAACTTGACCATAATACAACAGTATATCCACTCATAGACAGTTCACTGTTCACACCTTTTCACACAAATAACTTGATTATATTGTCACACAATCTTCAAAGCATTCCATGTATATATGAAGTCTCGCACAAATATTTCAAATAAATTCAAAATTGTTCACAACATTTGTTTGTTCATTTCAACACTGTAATATTATTGGTCGAATGAAGGTACATCTACACCAATGACTGGCTTAACGTCTTCTGGTTCTGTTTTGACAAAACACGATTGAGTTGTTGGCTGATCCATTATGGTTGATGGAAGTCTGGTCATAGACCTGGGTAATAGTATATGTGGTGGTAATTGCTGGCAGTGATCATTGGTGGTTGACACTGGTATATTATACTTGGTAGTTTCACCATACATACTGGATGGTTGGTGGTTATTATTGGTTACTGCAACAAGGGTACTGGCATTGGTTGTTGGTATATAGCCAGACAGAGGTTTGTTTGCATGGGAGGTATTGACAATGGAGTATTTTGGTGGCAAATGGTTGTTTACAAGTATGAAGTTTGCATTTACCATATTGTTATTGTTAGCGTCAGTTAGTGATGCTAACTGTAAACTTCTGCTGGTGGTAACTGAATAGTTTGGTGACTTATGATGATTCATATATTCACCATTCATAACTATACTGGTTGATGGTGGTTGCTGATTGGTGGGTAAATGGTGGTTTTCTAGCGATACATCTGGGGATGGGTTTGGGTTGGTAATAGTCATGGTGGATGAATGCGAGGCACCATCACTGGTGGTGATCTGGTTAGTAGTTGGTGGTAGATTCTTGGCGGTATATCGATTGGTGGGCGATGGTAGTGATGATGGTGGGTGTTGCAAGGTGTGTGAATGTACCGTTATTGGCAGGTTGGTGGCAAGGGTTGGGTTTGACATGGTGGAAAATGAATCAATATGAGTCGAAGTTGGTATACCTGCATAACTAGGGTGGTGGTCATTTAATGTTGCCATGGTAACACATGCATCGGTTGGTTCTGAGAACGTCTGTTGACCATTGTCCGAGGCAGGCTTTAATTCATTGGGGTGGTAATTTGATTCTGTGGTAACAACAGGTGCTTTTGTTGCAGGGTCATTAGGTTCACCATCAGTACTAGAAAATTGTGTGGTGCCATTTACCAACTGTAAAGTAACTGGTAACACAGAAATCTTACCATTCTTATCGCATCTCACGACCATGGAAATTTGACTATTTGGTACCATTGTTGCCTCGAAATTACCATTCACATCAAAGTTTTTACCAATTTCATTATACTGTTCATTATTTGACTCTGTAGCTGAACTTGTTGGATATAAACCAGTGAATAAGTTATTTGCTGTTGAAATTTGAGCCACACTGCTTGAACTTGATTGGTTTAAACCTATATACGGGTTTCCCCCCATATACGGGTTTTCCCCCATATACGGGTTTTCCCCTATATACGGGTTTTCCCCTATATACGGGTTTTCCCCCATGTACGGGTTTTCCCTTAGATACGAGTTTTCCCCCATATACGAGTTTTGTAACCCATCAATTACCGGTCGGGTTTCGACCCTAGGTATGTTTATCGGAGGTGTAGGTACGTATATCGCCTTATGAGGGTACATACTTCCGATGGGAATTTCTTCCCCCAGTGGCGCGGGGAAGCACGATTTGACCTTGCGCTCATGACGTCGTAGACTACTACTAGAAGCGAATTTCATGCCACAAATGTGACAAGCAAAAGGTTTGAGGCCAGTATGGGTCCTCATGTGTTCGGTAAGGCTCCCTCGTTGACTGAAAGACTTGAGACAAGTCTCACACTGGTAAGGTCGTTCACCACTGTGGGTGCGACTATGCTTGTGTAATTGGTCGCGAAAACTAAACCGCCGTTCACATTCGGTACAAGCGTACGGTTTCTCGTGCGTTTGCAAGTGCTTGTTCAGTATCGTCTCCCTCGCGAAGCATTTCCCGCATTCGGGGCATTTGTAAGGACGGTCGACCGCGTGAACACGAGCTTGATGTAGCGAACATCGCCAGTAGTAGCCAAACACTTTGCCACATTCCGGGCAAGGGAAATGACCTTTGCGTTTATTTTTGAGCCGTTTCTCGCCGTTTTCTACATGAACATCGTCCATATGCTGTCTCAGGCTTTGTGCGTAGCTGTAGCTCTTACCACAAGACGGACAAACGTAGGCTTTCTCCCCTGAATGAACAGTCATGTGTTTTTTCATGTTGCTCGGGTCCGAACATGTCTTCCCGCACACTTCACACGCGTATATATAATCTTTGTTGTGAATTCGCTGGTGCTTCTTTAAATTCGACGAACATGTAAAGCGTTTGTCACAAACCGTGCACAAATACGGCTTCTCTCCGCTGTGAGTTAGGAGATGTATTTTCAAGCCAGACAAAGTCATATTGCTCTTGCGACATATATTACAGTCGTGGCCATTCGAGTTGCTGGTTTTTCCTTTGCGAGTTGATTTCGAGCCCGCTTTCGTTGTTGATATACCGTCCAATTCCATTGACCTCGCTGCCCTAGGCATGTTGTGTATAGTACTTGCAGTAAAATATGAAGACTGTTCTTGGTATCATACACCTTACCTAAATAGATCAAATAACAAGCTGTCAGTTGATTTTCTATAGTCACCTCGAAGATTCGGTGGTGCGAATAATTATTCAAAATGCCTTGCATAATTTGTAGGCATAATGGCTCAATTGACTTGATTTACGACTTTCGCACAATATCGGTCGCCTATACGCAACAAAATTTTCTCTTTTATAGCAACAGTAAGAGCCCAAAGTTTAGTAGTCATTGTCTTTCATCGTGTAAGAATTTTTTTTTGCCTGGCTCATGCTTGGTCGGCTTGGTATGCAAACTCACCGCACACCAGGAGTCCATAGAATTTAATAATAACCAGTGTTACACAATCAAATTTTGCTGTCGAGTAATCTGTACTTTTTGGCTTCAAAATTGTTCATTTGGATTTATTTCGATTGGGCTAGGTTGTGATTTATAATAGTATTCGTATTCTCCTAAGCTTTAGCTATAAATCAAAGGATAAACAGAAGTCGTATGGTCAGAAGCCTGTCTGCCTAGAGGCTTTTGGCGTATTGAATTGCAGATAACAGCGATTCTAATTACACCACACAAATAGCATTTAAATTTCAATTCACAAATGCATTATTCTCATGCAATATCATGCAAATATGAAGATATTATATACTTCACCTTTGTTATGTTACTTAGTAAACGTAAGATAAAATTTTCAAAACCAACTTCGAGTATTAACCAACATCGTCATCGACAACAATATATATCGCCTAGGTTGTTGACCTCAATGCCATTCGTCAATAACGTGATATCGATAAATCAAAACTTCCCATTATGTTTGCCAAACCGTGCAATGTCATAAAGAATATATTATAGAACTGAACTCTTTGTCACAATGGACTGGACTGTGTTATATATAGAATTGTGACTTAGTAGATATGTATAAAGTAAACCTCCCTGTTGACATATTGTCGGTTGGGGTTCTACGAGTTAATCTTGGCTTATTGTGCAATCGTAATTTCAAGTAGTATAAAGGCACGCTATAAGGATCACGCTCAGACCGCTCTCTGTTATGACTTATGTGTTTACTTTTGGAGTCGGTGTTTATATTCTGGGCGGGCCCAGTTTTTCAGAAGCCGGTTTATAGCTTATAAACCAAATCAAACTTCCCAACAAGTTGTGTAACATAAAGACCATAAACTTGGAAATATTTCTTCAGAAATCTTGTGTGGATCCATAGGAGTTTTCTATTCTGACGTTTAGAACTAAACGGACGTGCAGAAAATGCCAGAAATACACATGCTAAAACAGGGACAGGGAGTTAAATTTTAACCCATGATTAGCGCTGAAACGCATGGAAAGTTTCAAGTCTAGTGTTATTTTTATACATTTTATTTATTGAGACCTATTAACCAGGGAGCAGTTGCAAAAAAATCGGGGGGAGCGAATTTGGATTGCTAACACGGATATTTTTTGTCTTGAATTTCATTGATATATAGCTTAATCTACGGCCTACCATTCTTTCATCATGTATGAAAAATAATTGTTACGCTCAGTTGTTCAGTTATCAATAGAAGGTTTTCTGTGGGAATTATTGGGGGCGGTTGTCGCCCCCTCCCCTGGCCCCCCTACTGTTTTTGAACGTCAGATGCCAGGCAATAATTACTGACAAAGACAATATTCAGTAAGACTGTAAGAGGGTCGCGATGGGGGGTTTCTACCCATTTCTGGCCGCATTGCTTGTGAAAATCTCATTCCAAAACAACGGCAATTCCAAAAAGGAACATTCTAGAAGGCAAATAACAGTTTGCCGTTCGCTCGTTCGGTCTGTGCCAAGCTAGGGATCTCCATATAGTCGAAACCCTTGATGTGTAGATAAAACACAAAACAATAGACACTCCAAAAATTGTAAACATTTTCATTCTTTACGTTTCGACTATTAATTTATAAAGTCATCTTCAGAAGAATGCCGTGCACGTATTTTGAAAAGCCAACTATTTATTTTGATGTTTAGAGATTCGTTAATTCTGAGATCTCATGTCACGTGTATAATTTGTTGTGAATAATATAAGAAGGCTTTGGATTGATAGGAATACAACTACCTGAAAAATACAAGGAGAACTTCGACGTTTTCGGGAAACAAGGGACTTCGCTCGCCGAAACGTCGAAGTTCAACCTTGTATTTTTCTGGCAGTTGCATCCGAGGTTGTCATGATCTTTATCAATCCGAAGACTCTATCGTTTTGTAATAATGCTCTAACGCAGTGTTTTCCCACGCACTGTCATCCTCTGGAACAATCTACCACCGAACTTCAATGAGCACCATCTACACTCTTATTATAAAGCTAAATTGTCTATACCTACATACCACCATAGATAATTAAGGTTACCCGTAAAGGAGTGTTCTGCTCTGTGGGTATAACCTGTCATTTATTTGACAAAGATTGTAAAATAAAATAAAAATAAAATTATACTCTAAAATTCGTTGTGCGTGTACTGAGTATCCTATATGTTAAGTTGCATGTAATCTGTGATATGTTCTCTTATTATAAAGCCAAACTGTCTACCTACATACCACCATAGATAATTATACCCTAAATAAGTTGCATGTAATCCATGTTCAGTTCGTGCACAATTCAGTCTTAGTACGTCTCGTTATCCATTATTGAATTGTGAAGGGATCGAATATCAATTGGAATTTAGTTTCTCAGTTTTCTTCTCCTTTCACGGCATTTTATTGTTATTGTTATATCTCCATGTAAATGTGATATTTTATGTGCGTGACTGAATAAAAAAATAAATAGACAAAATATGAGATAACCTCCTATTGCTTCACATTCAGTTTCAGCTATAGTGAGTGACAAAAGCTCTTTCAGAGAGAATTTTATTTAAAAAATTAATAGGGTTTGTGTTTGAATCACATGTGGTGAAAGAAACCTTTATAGTGTATACAGCTGGGAAACAACACGAAATATTTGGGCCAATTAAATATGGCGTGGTGTTTTCAAAACAACTCTGAATTCTATTTATCGCCACGAAATAGCGGCAATTCAATGCAAAGTTAATGGCTTGTCTATAGGAATCTCCGATCTACTAGTAAATGTATACTGCCCGCATGGAAATAATTAGTAGTACACGAGGTCAAAATTGCCAGTATATACGCACCCAATGACGTGGTTCAAATGTCTCTTATTGGAACTTCGACTAGTCTGGTTTATAGTAAGCACCGTAAATAATCAGGTATACCTAATACGCAGTGGAATTTCAGAGGAGGGTGGAAAATTGTCATCAGACAGTGTTGTGGTTTGCGAGTCCAATGCCAGTTTTCATAGTGGATTCGTTTGTGATCCACAAATATTTTGTTGGTGATATTCCTTATGTCCACACCTATACCCACACCTATACCCCACCTAACATCCACGAATCCGAAAATGTGTATAGAGGGGGCTAACTCAATTCAAATGACAAGGTTGTCAAAGTCAAAACTCATAACTGCTAATTGACCTCGTCCTCTATGACTATGGCTATGGCTATGGCGAACTGCTCAATTGACGTGCATAATTCGGTGCCTTACTGCATTGAATGTATAGAGTTGGGTGTTTAGCAAAATGCTACGCGGAACATAAATAGAGACGCGAAGCATTAATCACACGGCTGAGATAAGAACAAGCATAAGAAAAGACAAAAGTCAAATCAAAGACACTCAGTGAAGCATGCGACACAGACTTCGACATATTGTCAGCAAGCTTAACACAAACCTCTGAGCATAAGCCAAGAAAACTAAAACAAAAGTAAATTTTGCCCGCTTTGTCCACTAGAAATGTTTTTCAAAATACTACGGAAGTAGTACGGAATTTTCGTTGGAACTGAATAACGTGGAAATCCAATCTTCATACTATTAAATTGCAATTTCCATACTATGATATATTATGGAAACAGCATATGGATTTACTATGCCTAAATGATGCAATTGTAAACTTCATAGTATGAATTTCACTATTTTTTCCAGTATGTCTTTGCAAGCCCCGAAGGTAAAGTTTTCTTTTGTATTCCTGCTTATGGCTTATCTCACTCGTGTCAGGATCAAACGTGAATAATTGGTAATTGCGCGACCTTGGTCAACCTTTGTTAGCTGTTAATGCTTTCCCAACACTATCAAGTATTCTATCTAAGTTAAAACATAGTTGAAACACTCACCAAGCTTTTATTTTGTCTAGAGCATGAAATGTTCCCCACGTAACAATGTATGACTGCCAACTGGCTGTCATCTCGTTTGACCGGGCGGGGGCTTACTGACCTTGCTACTACCCAGCTTTGTAAATGTTAATGTACTGGAAACAAAGAATGCATTGATTAATTAATGTAGTAAGAAACATAAGAGGCCATGGCATGAGAACCACGTCATTGACATGTACAGCCTTAACTTCTTATAAATTGGAAATTACTTTATATACTTTGCATATCAGTTTTGAGAAAAACTTTTCCACACAACATTTCAATCCAGGTTCAAAATTTCCCATATATAAATTGTCCAATATATGCCTTTAATCTTTAGACTTTTCTAAATACATCAGGCAATAAACGGTTATGCCTATATACATTCTTTTAAAATTTCTACAGCGGATAAATGGTTCTAATTTGTTACGTTATGCGATGTTGCATGAAATATCTCACATATTCTTCAATCATCAAGCGATTAGTTGCGTCTGTGCCTATCGTATTACAATTGGATTACCTGCAGAGCTCAAAACTTGTCCTATTAACTGGAAATCGCCCTGCTGCAAGCTATAATATATAAGCTGCGCAAAAAATACATATATGGCTTGACCATCAGTCGCCGCTAAAATTGCATGATCTAGAAAAAAATCTCAACCAGTGGGGGTTCGGCATTCTCCGCGGCGTTGAATTATAATTTATTATAAAAAAAATTTTACAATACCTCGTATTTTAAGCCTGATTTCCATATGGTCGTAATGCCATCGTAAAAATAGAGTCACGATCTCTCTCAACGGCCAGTTTAGGCCACATAAAATAAATTCCTTGATTCTCATCACCGCCCGATTGTATTTTAAGAGCCGCGTGAAAATTGTTTATATTTTGTAATACAATATAAATGTACCGCCCGACAAAATATTTCAAGACAGTTAAAGTTTTTTATATTTTATATTGGGTTTTTAGTGCCATTTTAAACTGCCAATTTCAAACAAACAGAACCTTGAAAGAAATTTCATTGCCTTTTAAAGGAACTTCGCATTCAGTTCAAGGGTTCAGTCATTGTTCGTGGAGAAATATGTCAGTTAATATTTCGGTTTGTGACACTTCACTTTGGAAATCACTGAAGTATTAAACGTTAGGAATTATTTTTTATTTATTGATATATAAATTATATAAATATAAAATATAAACCTCCCGCCCCTTCGACATTTTCAAAGTGTATAGTGTGAGAATCAAGGACAAGGAACTATTTTATGTGGCCTTATAATAGTTTTTACCTGTAAACCACATCATATAAATCATAAGTTGAGAAAGATCGTGACTCAATCTTTACGACCGTTACGACCATATGGAAACCAGGCTAAAAGCCTAGTTCATACTAGCAATTTTGTCGGCGATTTTGTCGTGTTTCTGACAGAGCGATGCAAATGAGTGTACTTGCACACAAAAGTATATAATAGAGTCGCTCTTCAGAAGTAAACAATTCTACTTGTCAAACGATCGAAAACAAGAGTTGATGAGAGTTAACTGGATTTTACCACGCGCGTAGCCAAAAACTCTCATCAAAATTGGTGATGAAAGTCGATGAGGTTTGCCAGTCAATTTGCCTCGCGTAAACATGCTCCCATAGAAGCAATAAATTTAACTAAATCGTTTCTCTCTTGTCAAAATGCCGACAACAAGCCCGTGGCAACTTGTATCGGTAGACTTGGAACAACTTGTAGCAAGTCTGTTACCATCATCAACCTTGTAACAAGGTGATAACAACTTTGTTCCAGACTTGTCACAACACTACTGTATGGAACGAGCACAGTACGAACGCATCCTAATATCGACTTGAGCAACCATGTTACAACTGGTTTACAGATCCGTCATCACTTTGTTACAAGGCTGATGACGGCAACAGACTTGTTACAAGAACGTTGTTCCAACACAGGCTGTACGGATCGAAACTTTCTACCATCAACTTGTTAAAAACGTACAAACTTGCTGCCATCAATTTGTACAAACTTTTGCTGCCATCAACTTGTTAAACTGACGTGTTACGTGCAGACGATGTCAGACTTGTTGGAACAACTTGTTGCGAGTCTGTTGGCCTCATCAGCCTTGTTACAAGATGATAACAACTTGTTCCAGACTTGTTAACAACTCGGAACAAGCATTGCGAACACATCTAGTTGACAAGCTGCGAGATTTTTACGATACATCCGTTTAGACAATCCTTAAATCGTGTTAGCCTCTCGAATATGTGACGTACTATGCAGTATCTCTTTTCACTAGTCGAAATTCTGTCTTCACAAAATTCTGGATTTGTAATGGCACGCACAGAAAGCAAGCGACAGATTCTATGACTAAGTAGACCTTTGTACGCATTTTAAATATATTCTAGTGTTAGGCGTTAGAGAAAAAAGTCTAATTTTCTAAATTCAGTGGCCTCACTACTAGAAGTGATTCTGGAAAATATTTTCTGAAACGTGTGGTCCAGCATGTAGTGTAGCACTCTGTATGCCTGTACTATGTCTATGATCTAATAATGGACGTCATTTTTACTTTAATTGTCTTTGTCGGAATATTTTGAACAATGTTCCAAATGCCAACTAAACTATATCAGCCAACTAAACTATAATATTTTTAAAACATAATGTTCAAATAGACCCAACATTCACAATTTTACATCCAATAATGTTGGATTATATTCGACTTGTAATTTCTAATATAAAACTAAAGTTTTTCCAAAAAAAGTATGCATTTTATTTTTAACAACGCATTTACTTTATAAACTGCGGTATATTTCGAATCTATATTCTGATTCATCTTCAGCAGTTTATTTACAAGATATGGGATAACTATACTGCTGAAGATGAATCAAAATAGATTTGTAATGTACAGTTTTTAAAAATAGATGTGTTGTTAACTGATGCACACTTTTTTCGGAATAAAATTAGTTTTATATATTTGCTGAAACTATCACAGTTATCAGCCGGTAAAGGATTCTGTAATTTCTAAAATCCGAAACAGTTTAAAATAGCCAGCAAATGCATTCCAAGTTACAGTCCAAGCAGTCCAAGCTACAGTCCAGTCGTGACCGACTCCAGTCTTTAAAATATACCTTGACAAAAGGCATCCGTTGTCACAGAGTGAAATGACGTCAAATTTACGTCATGCTGGCTAAAATGCCGGAAATGATACTCTGGCAAACCACAATTGCCCTGAAGGCAATTTTTTAAATCTTTATTTAGCCCCTGTTCAATCAAGTAAAACGTCCAATGGACTGCTCAGTTACTAGGATTCGGGCACATCTAAGCTATGTGTAATAGTCTTTTATATGTTACAGTAAAAGTAAAGTAAACTTTTTCATTGATAAATAACCAAGCGCCTCACCACAGGCCGTACTACTCTCGACTTACCAAGTTGCCAGTGATACCAGTTGATTACCAAATATTTGTCATATTTTATATTAGTAAGTCAATAAAGACTTTCAGATGTTCTTTCAATTAATCCAGTGAACGAATGCTGTTGAAAAAGGGCTACATTACGGCTTCACTTGTTCGTTTTTCTTCTCTTTTCTTCTCGAGAGATTGTTTTTCGAGCGACTCGCGCGTTGTGGTACTCGCTAATGATCTCAGAACCACAACTGGATTGGACTTTTAACTGCTGATCTCACAAAAATGCCGAATATGTAATTTTTGAACTTTGAACTGAGTGATCTTAAAATCTAACTGGATGTAAGCATATATTAACTATGATGTAAGCCAATGAAACGCATTGAGCTCACTGATCCCAAAATAGAACTGGATGGAGTTCGACTTTTACTCTCGACTTTTAGATACACTCATGTGACGTCACTGACGTGTGTATTGGACTCACTGATCTCAAAATTTAAACTGGAAAGAATGCGGATTAACTGATCTCAAAACTAAACTTGGAGTATATTGATATGACTGATCTCTAACGTAAACTGGATGGAATAAGTAATTTTTCAACGACTCGACCCAGACCTCCTGTTTACAACTGCGATCTTCCTTCGTATTAAGGAACGTCACCCAAAAATTGACAACGAAATTTGAAATGAAAATCAAATATTACTAATTAAACATATGGTTTACTAAACATATGGTTCAAAACATATGGTTTAAAAAGACAGCTTGAAAAATAGTGGCTTGCGAATGAGTGAGAAAGTCTATTTAAAAGTTGTTCTTTTGGGCAAAGTTGACAGCGGCAAAACATGTCTTGTCACGCGTTACATTACAGATACATTCAGTCCCGAACAGCCTTCGGTAAGCTTGATTCATGTTGATTCTGTTAGTTTATTGCTGTCTTTTGTGTGTGTTGATAATGTGGAAATTACCATTTTATATAATAAATGAGCTGTTTCCTACTATTATACTTCTATTTTTTATTTATATGATGTAATCTGGACGAATTAGTAAATAAATAAATAAATATTTAAAATATCTGAAAATTTACAGTATATATCTTGCGTGTTCGCATGTCTGCAAAATGTTGCAATTATAGATAATTGTTTTGTAATTGCAACAGTTCAGAAAAGGTTATTTGATTTTCAATAAGAAATATTTTAAATTACGTAATCTGTCAAATTAGTTCCAGCATAGGCGTAGCTGGCTAAGTATGCCCAAATTTTTATGCCCCACTGACTGCTTACACCAGTACGTTTCATTGACTGCAGTTGATACACTTATTTCAAATATCAATCTTTCAATATTCAAAAATCTTCAAAGATTTTTATATTATTAGTAAGATTTATGCCAATGGCATAAATATCAAGAACATTTTACGCCGGAGATATCGAGAGTAACTAACATCCACCGATTCCAACTTGAACCCTATAACATGTAGTAAAAAAATGAGTGATGATCATTGGTGTTAATCTTGTATAAACAAAGCCATGTGAAGAAATAGACAGTGATATGTGAATATTTTAATAGTATTACTTGCATTAAAGGACAGTAACAGATTAAAAAAATGTCTATTCTCTGTGCAGTATTAAAGCATTTATTGGTTTCACTTAGTTCCGAGATGTTACTAATCTGTGTTCTAAATATTTTTCAGACAATTGGAGCAGCATTTTGCAGAAAGGATATCAATGTGGAAGGTCAATTACTATCACTTGCCATCTGGGTGAGTACAGTGTAATATCTCATGGCTGCAGAAGTTAAGTAACATTGGAGCGATGCTACAGTTCCATACATGCCTGAAAACATTTTTTATGGCCAGGTACCAACTGGGTGGTGCTTGACAGTTAGTGATTGACCGATAATCGGTATCTGAGGCTGATTTTTGTCTTTATCGGTAGACAATCGGCATCGGTAGTATTATATGTATTTCCTGATTGTGTATAACCAACTGTTGAGAAAATTCACACTGTAAAAATTATATAGTATTTTATTGATACAATTACTCAATCACTACCTGACACTTCTCATTAGTGCTGGACATCACAAATATTGTGATATTATCAGGGTTCGTAGCGGTCTTTGCAATCCTTGAAAGCCTCTAAATTTGAATGCAGGTCTTTGAAAAGTCTTGAATTGTGTGAAAAAGAGAAGTCTTTAAAAGTCTTTAGATTCTTCAGTGAGTATTTGATTATACGATTTCCTAACTAATAAAATAAATTGATTGAAGCAAGATTTTCGCAAATATCGATGAAAAGGTGCATTTTAGGATGTGATTTGACGGGACTAATTACCTGGGTAAAAATGGTGCTCACACTCGCAATTTTTCGACAGCTGATTGCTCTCAAAGGTCTTTGAAAAGTCTTTGAAAATAGGCAGAAAAAATCTTTGAAAGTCTTTGAATTTTTTTGGTCTTGGAGACTTTGAACCCTGTATTATAATGCTTTAGTTTGTGGAAACACCATGTAAATTTATTTTGTCGTGACAGGAAGTTTTCACGCAAAATTTTCATGACTAGTAAGGTTGAGACTTAAGCCAATTTTCCACCAGGTGAATTTGTTTGTGCAAAGTGAAAAATCAAATTTTGTGATTGGTCAATGTGATTGGTCAGTAAAAATATTAGCCACGAAAAAGTTGGATCAGTTCCTACTTTTTTACTGTTTGCATGAACAAATTCACCTAGTGGAAAATGGGCTTAAAGACCATGTAAAGTCTGTAATGTAAATAAACGCTTTGTTTACATTTTGAACTCAGTGCTACAGTTGTAAAATATGATTAGATATATATTATACTGAATTTTTAACACTCTTCTGGTTCGCTATGCTTGAAAATGAATACAGACTAGAGATTCAATTCAAGAAAGTTCAAAAGATACGAAATATTAATAACATTCCAACGGTCGGGTCCCGACTGTAAGCCTGCACAGAACGTATGCGCAGAACAGACTTTACATGGTCTTTAAAGTTTGTACCGGCTCAAATACGAGGCAATAGTCATTAGAGTACCAGTCAGGTACAACCAAAAATTGCGAATTATCACAGTATATCAGGCCTCGTATTTCCCTGAAATCAATCAATGGCAATGACGTTAAAAATTGCCGTAGAACGCAACAGCTGTCTATGGCAATTTTGGCAGTTTCCACAGCATTTTTCAAATTACTGTAATAAAACTTTAATTTTATTGTTTAATTAACTTTGGATTTTGGACAAGCTAGAATCATGTCTAGTACGTATTTCTTAAGTTTAAATAGTGTGTGTTTTTTTTTCGAAGAAAACTGAGACTAATAGTGATTTGTTGCACTATACGGCAAAAAATTGCCGTCGTTGCCGCAATGATTCACAGCATTTTGTTCTCCCTCTACGGCAATTCGAGTCTTGCAGTATACTGTATAACATTAGCTTTAATTAGTAGGTTTGTTATTATTTCTAGGACACAGCTGGAGCAGAAAGATATCAGGCAATGAGCTCCATGTATTATAGGAATGCTAAAGCTGCTTTGATTTGTTTTGGTAAGATGAATGTTAAATATTTTAATTTTACAAGCTTTGTCACAACATATTACAAATTGTAACCGGGAATCACAACAACTTCTAGCCAATTACTGTGATCAAAATATGCAGTGTTTAATCTATATTCCATTCCACATTTTACCATTATAATGAGATTAATCTTTAATTTAGATTTGACAGATGCATCCAGCTTTGAGAAGGCAGATTACTGGGTTAAACAAATATTGACTAATGAACCGGTAATTATGAATTATTAGAAACAAAGTTGATGTAGTGATATCACCACAATTAGTGTGCAAAGGAGGCAATTTGTTTGACCTGGCCTTTGTATGTGAACCAAACAAAACACCTCGGATGCTAAGTTCTTTGTACGTTTGCATGGCGATAAAACATATAATAGTTTTGTTTGTGGAAACACCACGTAAATTTATTACTGCAATGCTTTCGATCCGTAAGCCCGGATCTTCATCATATATTATTAGTTTATTATTTTTATACAGCTGTTTCAATTAAGGTTGTCCACGAGCAAAGCAGAAAAGTCGAATACGAGCGCGAAAGGCTGATGGGAATCGCTAATAAATTAATGAATTTTCAAAGCGATTCCCAGCAGCCTTTCGCACTCGTATTCGACTTTTCCGCTTTGCTCGTGGACAACCTTAATTAATTGAACTAGCTGTATATTATTTTTATTAGCACTGATGAAGATCCGGGCTTACGGATCGAAAGCTTTGCAGTAATAAATTTACGTGGTATTTCCACAAACAAAACTATCATACTGTACCTCAGATACTGTACTACACTTACTACTGTAAAATAATAGTTTTAAATTTATAGTTTATAATAAATAGTTTTACTGTAAATAATAGTTTTATGGTTTTGTTTATGTTTTGATTATGTTTTCTTTATATTTATTTAGAACTGTAAAATGTACTTGTGTGGCACAAAACTTGATTTAATAGAAGATGAAATAAAAGAACGAGCTGTTTCAAAAAACTCAGCAGAACATTTTGCTAAAGGTGGGAACTCGTTAATCTTACCGAGCCATGTATAGTCATCAGTATATTGGTAGAAAGGATTTATTTTGTGGAAGACTCGCGCTTTTTAAATTATAACCAAGAAATATACAACTTAATAATCTATTTATTGGGTGGCTTAGCCCCTCTGTGAAAACTGCAGTGAAGCCGCCCAGTTTAAATTCACTGAAGGAATATTTCATTGACCATAGATTACAAGGTGTACTTCCATTGGGGCTAGTGCAAACGGGAAAACGAGACACTTGCAAGGCACAATCCCTAAATAAAAGTTAATGACTAGACTACAGAAAGAAAAAACTTAAGATTAATTTACAGGAAATATATACCTAATGCAGTTTAGCAACGAGTGACCAAATTGCATGGCATATCCACATTAAAAGCATCCTTGACCAAGTTGGAGTATGTCGTGTGCAAAAGCGTTTAAAAATAACTAGGCTGGCAAATTTTTCTGTGGAGACTATTTTACAAAGTTACTTCCAAGACTTAACTACTCATTACAGTTTTATTCTGGTTGTTTTTTTTTTTGGGGGGGGGGTTAGCCCTGGTACTACAGTCATATGTAACAAGTTTGGGGGGGAGGGTGTTGGCTACACAAATGGTAATTCACGTTCACCTCTGGGACCAAGGTTTCATTCCTACAATATGTTTTTTCATAATCCCAGTGTTCAATATGGTGGTCGATCATCAGCCATTTTCACTACTGTAATATTGTGAAACTATATAGTGAAAATTAAACATTGGAATTTGTTTAGGTTGTAATGCTGAAGTGTTTGAAACGTCTAGTAAAACTGGGACAAATGTTGGTTAGTATCAAAATAAAACAGAGCATTTTAGTGAATTAAAATTAAAGCCTTGATCAAACAAGTTGGTATGCGAGAGCTTGCATGAGAGTTGGCTGGATATTAACCATTACAGTATATCATCAAATGATCTCAAACTCGTTAATAGTAAATTAGCCAACCATTATATCGTCAAATGATCTCAAACTCATTGATAATGAGTAAATAATAGCCAACTATATTGCTTTATTTTGCACTCATGATAATACTGGATACCTGGTGAAGTATATTGATCTAGACCTACAGGGTATTTAGACTTTAATTCAGTCTTTGGACTGGATCAAAACTAATTCAGTCTTTGAACTGGATCAAAATTAATTCAGTCTTTGGACTGGATCAAAACTAATTCAGTCTTT